GGATGAATGCTGCCATTTCCCAGTCTGGAATACATTTGATAGTGCTTCATCAAATCATGGAAACTGTCAAAAACAAAAACATGAAACAAACACATTTTTAAAAATGAGCAAAAGATAAAGAAAACTATGCTACTTTTGGCTTTCAAATTCTACAGACTTGAAGTTCAAGCATATATAATACCATAACATTATTATTATTATTTTTTAAAAAAAGACAGGGATAAAAATAGAACTCTCTAGTGTAGTGGTTCTCAACCTTTTCTTCATCATGGACTCCCTTTAAATACTTTTTGTGGCCATGGACCACCAAGACTTAACTCAAGATTTAAATCATATCATTTCTTCAAGCCTTTGTGGACCCCCTATGACATTGCGGAGCCCCAGGGGTCCCCAGACCACAGTTTGAGAAACACTGCTCTAGCCCATAGGTGTCCATCTGTTTGGCTTGCCTGGGCTGCATTGAGTGAAAAGGAATTGTCTTGCACTACATACAAAATATATAATATGATTAATGTATATAAATTATATAATAAAGTTTATGATGCTCTGGAGTCACATTATTAGCTATCCAGTACCACATGCAGCCCATGGGCTGCAAGTTGAACATAGCTGCTCTAGCCCAAAGGCAAATCACTCATATGGCATCTCCCAATAGTGCATCAGGGAGAGAAAAAGAAGAGGGCCACATATCTACTTGTTCCCTGCTGCTGGTCCAACAAAGAGAAAAAGAAGGTCAGTAGCAAGCACTGGAGAAGAGACCTAGGAAAACAGCCTAGTTTTAAATACTGGAAAAACCAAAGAGATTATTGTCGATTTCAGAAAAGGCAGGCACAGCCACACTTCTCTGTGCATTAATGATTCCCCTGTGGAGATGGTTACCAGCATCAAATTCCTAGGTGTGCAGCTAACAAGTAGGCTGGCTTGGTTGCTCAACAGCAAGACACTGGTGAAGCAGGCACAGCAGCACCTGCATTTTCTGCATCACATGAGAAAAGCACATCTTCCTTCCCCTATCCTTTTTCAATAAATTTTTTTATTATTTTCATCATAAAAAGAAAACATACAAATACAACACAAATATAATATAAAACCCGCATCCCCCACCCCCACCCCCGAGACTTCCCAAACCTAATCCCAGGATAATATTCAAATATAAGTAAACAATTAATAATATCTCTAACTCCACAAGGTATATAAATTCTGCATGAATAAAAGAAATATATACATTAAAAAAAACCAGTTAATTAAAAACCTAAATTATATTCCACTATTCTATGCTTCTTTTGTATATAAACAATCCATCTTCTCCATATAGATAAAAATTGTTCATTTGAGTGGTTCTTCAGATAAGCTGAAATCTTTGCCATTTCAGCAAGATGCGAAACTTTCAATCTCCAATCTTCCATTGTTGGTAAAGTTTTACTCT